GAACTGAAGGTTTGGAGATGATTGCGTTGTCTGCAATAATCTGGAAAACTGGCTGACCTCAGCTCTGGTGTTACCACCTGGAAGCTCTCCATTCCCTTTGCACACAGGTTTCTCCCCCTGCTCCTGTACTTCCTCCTACAGCTCATCAGGATTGGCCACGTGAGATTTGTCTTGGCCACGTACACCAAAGGAAAGGTCACCACAGCCCAAATGGACCTTCCATGATGAATGATCCCTCCCAGCCCATGTCCTTCTCTTTAGAAGCTAGAAGCCCACAGAGGCCGTGGCTGTACGAGCTCATCACAGATGTAAATGAAGGGAACAGCAAGTGGAAGGGCGGAAGGAAGCCTGCTCCAATTACCCGAAGCAAAGAGTATTAAATAATACAATAATTTCCCCAGGAAGAGATTATAGAGAATTGCGTGTAACGTCTCAGTTCTGAAGGGTTTAACAATTTCACCTTAGGATGAAATCTAATTAGAAGGCTAAGGTTACAAAGGAAAACGGTTATTTCATAAATCCCTCAGTAGAGTTATTTGGAAAAATACTGGTTTCTCTGTATGGATGAAATAAGCAATCCATTTGCACTGAATTACACTTTGGATGAAAATTCAGGACTTACAGTTAAGGTTTCTGAAACTCACTTCGAGGTCTTTCTCATTCCAGTTTGAAAGAGAATACAACCTAAAATGAAATTTTTCCATTACATTTCCATTTGTTTTTCCTAATCCATCCTTCTAACATTATTATTATTATTGTCACTTTCTTGTTGTTGTTTATACATTTATAAATACACAGGTTTTTATGAAATATTTATATCTGTGGGTGAGGAGCACGAGGATCACATGACAATGTTTCTTTCTACCATTCAGTTTCATCAAAAAGGGGGAAAGAAATGTCACCAGTCACTACCTCAGCAGTGTTTCTATATCTGTGTGGTCCAAGAGGGTTAGATAGAAATCTCCGTAGTGTCAGAAGTTGTGTTCTTGTTTCCCAGGAAAGCAAAGATGACCCAAAAAGACGAAGGGAAGAGGAAAAGAGATGAGAAAGGGAGGTGGTGGAGTCACTGTCCCTGGAGGTGTTCAATAAATGTTTAGCTGTGGTATTAAGGGACACGTATTAGTGTGGAAATATTGGTGTTAAGTGGATTGGATGATGTTGGACGTGATTTTCCAATCTTGGTGATTCTGTGATGCTATGAAAATGCCCCCAGTACACAAGTGCTGGTGTTAACCAAAGCCCCTAGCGAGCCTGCAAGAGCCAGCCCTGCCTTCTGCATCTATTTGGCCTCTCCTTACTCAGCAGCTCCCACGTTGCTCCTGGCTTTCCTGAGCTGCTGGAGGGACCCCGCAGGGCCATGGCCCTAATGAGCTCCACTGCCCTTTGTTGGGGTCTGTGACCTCAGCACAGGAAGATGACATCACTCAAAAGGGCAGCAGCGCTCTGCCATCGTGCTGCCTCTAAACCACAGCTTTTGTGGGCCTGACCTTTACCTCCACTGATACACATCAGAGCAATGTAGGCCAATTGCTGCCCTTTTGGTCAAAGTATTTGTATTTTTCACATGTTTTACAGCTTCACATGTCTGCTGTGCAATTATTTACTTCTACAAGTGTTTGCTTTGCTTTTTTTTTTTTTTTTTTTCAGATTTGTCTTGTGACAGCCTTTCCCGCGTCAGATCCTCTAGTTTTGTAAAAACCCAAAATAAGGAAGGGTCCCTTTAGTGGCAAAGAGACATGGCACCCAGGTAAAATGGCAGAAATAGGGAGCGTAGGATGTCACCGTGTGTGCTGGTGGTGTGAAGCAACCCACACACACATTTCTCTCTTTCCAGGCCACCTGGATCCTGCGTGTTCTTTTGTGCAACAGGTTTTGGCTTCAGCATTTGAAAGCAAACACTGTGTGTGGGATGGACCGGCCAGGGCTGCTTTGGGGTGGCCGATAAGGAAGGAGGGAGCAGGCTGTCCCCAGGGCAGTGCCCTTGTGAGGAGAACCAACAGCATGACCTCCCATTTCCAGTAAGTCTGGCTCCTTTGTCCCCAGCCCTAAGGAAACCAAACAGCTCTCCAGCAGGGACACCTGGAGCAGGGTGTGCAGGCCCACAGCCAGGGGACAACTGGAGATCTCTAAAGAGGAGACCCACAGCCTCTGTGTTCCCGTGCCAGTGCTCAGGCACCCCCACAGCACCGATGTGCTGTCTGATGGTCAGAGAGACCTCCTGGGTTCTCTGTGCCCACTGCCTCTTGCTGGGCCAGGCAGGGAGAACAGCACCTCCAATTCTTTGCTGTTATCTCAATCTCAACCCATGCTCTCTAAATTGCAGGGAAATCGGCGTATTTTGTAGTTAATGATTAAGACGTCCTTCTGGAAGCCGTGACTTTGCTTGGAGGCATTGGCTTGCTCACTGACGTGCTTAACGCCATACGTCAAGGACACTGTGGGAAGGCACCTGTGGGCACCCACTTAATACAGGGTAACATTTCCCCTGCAAGCAGCCTGGATACTCAGGTGGAAGAGCCGAGCTGAGCAGCGGGGCCTGTAACCACACCAAGGCTTCAGTGTGCTGGGAGCAGGTGGTGGGGCCTGCGCTGCCCTGCCTGCACCAGCTGCACTCCTTCCAGCTCTCGCCTTGTCCATACAGCTTGATGCTCACACAAACGTGTTTTTCCAGCTGTTAGATCGCTGCCCTTGGAGATAAGGTGCACTGAAAGATTTGTAGGCTGCTTTTGAGCAGGAATCAGAGAAATTCATGGTGCATTCGGCTTGCTGAACTGCTGAGGGAGGAGCGCCCTCAGTGAGGTCTGGGTGCACGGCAGTGATGAGACGCCCCCCACCCTCCCTCCTTGCCATGTGTTCCCTGCCTTCAGGGCTGCCATGGTGAGGATATGGTTGCTCTTTGGGGCTCATTTTTGACCTTGTCCCTGCCAGGTGCTGTCCCAGCTGCTGCTCAGCACTGAGGTTGGGTTGTCCTCCCCTTGCATCCCCTTTCACTACACAGAATCGTAGAATCACAGAGTGGCTTTGGTTGGAAGAAGCTTTGAAGATCATCCAGCTCCAACCCCATTGCTGTGGACTGGTTGCCCCCACCAGATCAGGCTGCCCAGGGCCTCATCCAGCTTCGCCTTGAGCACCTGCAGAGATGGGATACCCACATCCCTTTATGGGCTAGGAAGTGTCTTGAGTATTAAGCAGACATCACCAAGATGGGCTGCTTAGAACACAGCTCTTGTCTTGGTGTTAAGTGCTTGAAAATGGGAATTATGGGGTTACGATGCCAAAACCTTAATTTGTTTTCTATAATATTAAGGTAAATGTGGATGGATGGCAAATTCATCCCTATAGGAACACAACTGCACCAAGAGGACCCATTCCCAAGGTTCTCTGACAAACCTGGGCTGAGCAAACCAATATCTTTACCCATTCAAAGAACAGATATAATGAATGCTGCTCTGGGCTGAATCAGTTCTACTCGAAGTGGCCTCTCCCCAGAGCCTCCTTTTGCTCTGCACATTTCCTTCCTTTGCTTCCACCCTTTCCCCTCCCCAGTGCATCCTGCACTCACACCTTCATTTCAGCTGCAATCCTCCCAGTTGGGTTTGGGGGCCTGTGAGAGCCAAGCCCTGTTCTAACAACCAGCATCCCACTAACAAGTGCTCCCAAATCAGACTGCCAGCACCTGGGAGGAGTGATTGCACAGAAATAAATCTCCAATTCGCTTTAATAGCTCCAAATTGAAAGTTGCCAGAGGCTAATTATAGCAGCTCTGACAGTTCGAGGATTAAAATTATCTTAATAGTTTAACAGTATAAACACTGACTCATGGCACTGGCAGCCTGCTGAGCAGCACACTCACCTGCACCCCAGAGGTAGTTTTCTTGCCTGTGGGCTGGCCAAGGGATAGGGGAATCTGCACAAGAGGGATATAGCTTGGCTCTAGGGTGGCTTTTTCAGGGATATTTGCCTGCCTATATTGATTTCTGTACCCATTAGTTTATATGCATTAGATATTTGTTTATAGGCCACCCTTTTCTCCCTCAAATTGGAAACACCTGGGTCATCTCAGCTGCTGGGCTGGCAGACTGTGTCCTCTTTTCCACTAGCCTCATTTCACTGCTTTCCACACCAAATAAGCTACTGTGACCTAAATTACAAGGGTTTTTTTGGGGGGGCTTGTGCTCTATGCAAAAGCCATCCACGCATCCAACAATTTTCTCCTAAGGTGACACATCTTGTGATTGAGTGGGGGCGGGAGTTCTGGGGAGCATAGCAAAGAAAAAGGCATTAAAAAGGAAAAGTGGAGCTCCAGCCCTCAGCAGGCAGGCAGGAAGGGGGCTGCTGAGTGAAGGAATGTGTGCTCTGAAAACCTGGGACAGCAGCCAGGAGGTGCGGCAGGAGTATAGGGAATGGCAAAAGGGACTCCTCATATCAGACCAGGACAGAGAGATGGGTGACATTTTAAGCAGTGAAATGTCTTCTTGCCTTTACATTTATTTATTTGCACGTATACAATGAATGTGCCCCAGAAAATCTCCAAGGCCAAAAAACATCAAAATTCAGAAGGATAAGATAGAGATGCAAGCATACCCAGGTCTACAAGCATGTCGGTCCCAGAATCCATGTCCGGTTTGAACTGATGCAAATCACTTCACTTTTTGGTGCCTCCTTATTTCGTGAATAGGAGCAGGGACTCCTTCTTCCACCCCTTTTTCCTCTTGCCTACTTAGTGCCTGCCCTGCAATGCCCACTGCCCTATTTCCTGCCACAGGGACCAATTCCCTCCAACCCCGGGCACTTCTGAAATCCTACTGCTCTACTGAAGGTGACATGGGACCACCATGAGCAGCAGAAGCAGTGGAAGGAAGCTAAAGGAGAAGTTACCTGAATCTTACCAAGTATGTCAAGCTCTGACTCATCTTTTAGATATATTCGCTGTGATTGCTGCTCATTTGTGCAAGAAAACTCAGCCAGACCACCACAAGGAGCTACAGAAGTCCTCCCCTCTAAATGAGGAGAGGATGCCACTGGGCTACAGGCTGCTGGATGGACTTGGCCATGAGGTCCCAGTGGTCAGCTGCCTCCCTTGCCATGTTCCTACCCACAGTGGCCTGCCCGATGAGGTGCCTGGGCTCAGGGCCCACTTCATAAAGGGAGACGAGCACAGAGCTGTCCCACGCTGCAGCTTGGGGCATGGGGAACAGGAAGGTCTCATTGAAAATGACGAGTGAAGTGTGTGCCTGCGGCCTGGATTTCTGGTGCTTCTGCCTGTGGCGTCTGCAGGAAACATCTATTCTTGCGTATATACCTGCAACAGGGGGAGACAAAAGGGTAAAGAAGTTGTATTCTAATAGCTGGTAGGACTAAGGGGACCCTCACCATCTCACCATGGTGGAGCCCCATTGCCCAAGGACTTCCTATGAGAAGACACTGCAGCTGTGAAACATCAAACATGGAGTTATAGAAACTAAAAGTGGCTCTACTTCAGCCTTCTCAGGGTAAGGAGCTGTTTACAACTTATCTATGATGCAGAGCATCTCTAAGGCTGCTCTCAGGTGTCTATGGCCTCAAAGGGCAGTCTCCTCCATGGAGATGGAAGGCTGATAGCAGAGCTCTGGTTACAGCCCCAGGGAGTGTGGCATCACCTCTGCACTGCCCCCACCCAGGTTGTCCTCCAGAGGAAAAGCAAATTGGCTTTGCACTGAGGGCAGCAGCCCTGTGATGAGGTCCGGTGTTTGGGTCTCTGTAGAGCAGAGGAATGGGATTCATGGTTGACAGCTGCAGGTTTTACTAGTGTGATGGCCCAATGACATTCAGCACTGCTTTTCTGCCAAGACTGGAGTGTGAGGGCCATGAGAAAGACCTTCCCCCCCCCCAGAACCCCATGCCCATTTGTGTGGGTGAGCCCAAGGCAGCAACAGGTAGAGAGGAGCAGCCAGCCCAGACAACAGGGGCACAAAACCCTTACTCTTTTCTGCAGCACTGCAAGGGGGGTAGGTTTTTGCCTTGAGCAGCCCAACCTCCATCCTCTGGGATATGGGCAGGCACCTCAGAGACAGCAGCACCTCTCCCACGACGTCCTGCAGAGGACGGGGGCATACAATCAGCAGGTGATTGGGCAGCCCTCCCAGCTACTACCCACACCACACAGGTCCCAGGGTACAAGGCAGGAGTTGTTCCTTAAGTAAAGGGATGGCTGTCACAATGCACAGTCCCTCAAGCCACTGTAAGGGAGCACAGGATTAAGTCATGCATTACCTTTGTGGCCTTCTGCAGTTCTGCACAAAAAACTAAGTTCTGGGAAGCCTTCAGCTGGCTCAGGGCAACCCTGACTTCCCCTAGTGTGGCATTCCTGGAGTATTTGTCAAAATGTTGGACCTATGGGAGAGAGGCAAAAAGCACATTCATGGGGCAAGGTGCAGGACAGGGCTGTGCCTCGAGAGCATCCCTATGGACCATATGTCCCCCAGGGGCAGCTGTCTGCTCTCAAGGCCTGCTCCCATTGCATCTCTTGGCTTTTGGGATTTGAGCAACAGGGAAAGGTTAGGCTAGGGGCTAGGAAAAGATTGTTCACCAGAGGGTGGTGGGCCTGGAGCAGGCTCCTCAGGGCAGCAGGCATGGCACCAAGCTGCAGGAGTTCGAGAGGCGTTGGGAAAACGCTCTCAGACAAAGGGTTTGGCTTCTGATTGGTCCTGTGTGAAGCCAGGACTTGGACTCAATGGTTCTTGTGGGTCCCTTTCAACTTGGGATATTCTATGAGCTTGGTTCTTCTCCTGCTGCCAACATCTCAGCAGTTCATGGCCATTCAAGAGGACCTGGTGAGTGAGCCCAAAACTACCCACCTGCCTTGTGTTCCCCCAAAGTGGCAAGAGATGGGAACACTTCAAGAGTGGTGAGGGCAGGGTTCTATGTCTACAAGCAAAGCTAGGACCCCATCCCACCTCCATCTTCAGGGTGCTCCTCTCCATCTCAGCATCCTGCAGGGAGCAGACAAAGTGCTCCCCAAAGGTCGTCCCATTGCAGTTCTTCACCGCCCGGCTCTGCCACTCCTGGACCACACACTGGAGCCCAGGGGTGTGGGATGGGACCCGCTGCAGCAGTCGGAGCCAGACGGCCACCTCAGTGTGCCTGCGGCTGGGCAGGCCCCGCACCTCCAGGCCGCTCACCAGCAACTCGCATTGCTCCCTGCGGTACAGGAGGGAGAACTTCAGACTGCCCTGGGAGCTGGGCAGGGGGCTCGGGTCACTGCTTGGGTCTTCAGTGATGCTGCAGGAGAGGCAGGGATGGGGTGCCTCCAGTGCTGCTCCCAGCTCCGCCATCTATGGAAAAGAGTGAGAGGAAAGGAGACAGAGTCTTTTAAAACATGGCAAGCTGAATTGTCCTCCTTTTCCTACAGTGGCAGGAAGGTGTGTTGGCAATGGTTGGCAAGCTGGCCCATGGTATGGGGGTTGGAACTAGATGATCCTTGAGGTCCCCTTCAACCTAAGCCATTCTATGATCCTGTAGTGCCCTTGCTGGGGCAGGACAGCTGCTCTTTCAGCCTTCTTCCCCTCTTGCTTCACTGTTCTCTCAGCAGCTGCAGCCCCCCAGCAGCCGGTTTGAGCTCAGCAGCTGCTGGTGGTATTTTGGGGCCGTCGTTGAGTCCACTGCCTGCCTTATGGCTTCCTGCACTGCTCTGGGGAGGGCAGCAGGAACTTGAGGAATTTACGTTATGGGAAACCACATCCCTCCAGTAACAGACATGGGGTGGAATTGGGGGGGAAGGGAAAGGAGAGAAACTTGCCATTGCTCCTGCCCTCAGATTGAACAGATGCTGTATAAAGGAGGAGTAAGTAGAAGTGAAACTTGAGATCGAGTTAGTCATCAGCTTTCCCAAAAATTGCACTGCAGGTTTTTCACTTCCCCCAGCACTGGACTTCATATGGCTCTCAGCCTTGCCCAGCACTGATGTACATGCCTCCATATCCACGTCACTCTGCTGGCCGCTGTCAAGCAGAAGAGGCGGCATCTTCTTCCCCCACAGGCCATTCTGTGCCCTCATCTTCACCCCGTCTTCACTGCTGTATTTCTTCTCTGTTGGGGTAAAGAAAAGCAGTAGGCAATACCCAGCTGGCACAGTGTAGCCACCAGGAAGGGGACAGCCTCGCGATAGGACCTGCTAAGGGCCCACGTTCCCCTCACGGGCAGCACCAGGACAGGGGGGCTGCCCCAGGTTCACACCACCTTCCCAGGAGGAGCCACTCCCCTAGCTGCCCCAGGGTACCTCGACAAGCTGCTTGCCATGGAGTGCCTGTGACAGTCACACAAGTGCTTGGAGGCAGGAAAACCACTGCCCAATACTTACTTTTCCCAGTCCAGCTGTGTTTCTGAAGCTGGCACATCTGGTAAGCCAGGACGGTCAAGGCCCCCAGGAGCAAGAGGATGGCTAATGCCAGGATCCCATATTTCCAGGTGCTGGAAAAGGGAAGCTGTAAGTTGTGCAACCTGAATGTGATGGAGCTGTTCTGCATCTTATCTTCTTCCTCTGGAAGAAAGAAGGAGGCAAAGGGTCAGTATCAGCATTGCCTCCCCACACTGTGAGGCCTGAGCAGAGCTCAGGACAAGGCCTGTATTCAGTCATATACACTGCAGCTCAGGCCCACACACACAGAATTGGTCACTTTGCTGGGTGTGCAGTATTATTTATGCAGGCTTGTGCTCACCAGATTAGTATCATTTCATCGTAGTTCTGCTACTACCACATAGGTGGGCATCTGCTGGATTCCATTCCTTTGTCTAAAGCTACTCACAAAGCAGCCTATAGACTTCCAATGGGAAAGGCTATGAGAAACAGGGCACACCTGTGATTTCTCTACTAGTTTTTTCTCAGCCTGCTGCTTTGCCACCACATACCTCTACTGCCTCCTACAGCCACTGTCCTTCTTGCTTACTATCTTCTGACAATTCCTGATAGAAGATACTCAGGGAAAGCATAGGACTAAGCACAAACACCCAGCAAAACTTCACCCCCTTAATATTCCCCCCACAGTATGCAGTTGAGGGATGCTGATAATGATAATCAACAGGTTTCTTTAATTTCCATTAATTTTTCCAGTTGCCTTTATAAGCAGCAATGGTTTCTGCTCTTACTGTATGATCTTCTGCAAAGGAGTATCTCAGCTTTGCCTAATGTTACTTATTCCTTGAAGGAATCTCCCAATTTTGAGAAGAAACAGAAGCTGTATTTTACTTCTAAGAAGATGACAGAGGTCCATCAGGCTACAGCTTCATGCAGCCTTTCATCACTACTTAGCCTGATTAATCAAAGCAAAGACTGGAAGGAGGGATCCTACCAGAATCTTGGAGCAAGTGTCCCTTAAGAGTGTTAGCTCCTACCCAAGGAGCACGTGGGTATATTTCGGGAGGAACAGGGCTGAGTGTTTCATCCCCCTCAACACCTTCATACCCATTTGCTCTGTCAGAGAATAGGCCTTGGTGTTTTACTCTTTCTCTGATTGCTTAAGATGAGATTAAAACATGATTTTTTGCAGAGAGCAAATGCTTTACCCGCTTCTAGCAAATAAAAGTAGCCAAGAGCCAGAGCCCAGCTTTAGGCCAGTGCCATTTTAATGTATTACTACTGCTTAATACAAAAATCAGTTGAGTGAAAATCCCTCAGTGTGCACGAGTTCCTCACATCAGAACAGGTTGCTATTAACACCATGTATTTTCTTCTCTGTATTTTCATTATTGCCTGTATTATCTGTGTTTTCATTGCAGGACCCTGCACAGAGCAATGTGCTAGAGCAGAAGCAACAGCAAAGAACAGGAGGTGGCCGGCAGGAACATCCTTGTGTGAATGAGAGCCAAACCTAAGCCTAAATAAACAGTTCCCTGAAAATGTGAGACTAAGAGAAACATTATAAATCTGCAAAGGAAACTTAACTCTCTGCTAACCTCCAGTAAGAAGCTACAGGCTGGCTTAGGTGCAGATCTGAGCATCAAGAGGCATTTGTTGAAAGCAGAGCCTTCAGGAAGATCATATTATGAAGATAACCTTTAGCAGACATTGTTGCTCTAAACCTGGCTGCCAGTCACCTGACTGGTTTTCACTCTTAGCAGTCTGCACCTGAATGAGGAGAATGATGGGCAAGCAGCCATTTAAATAGAGGCAAAAACAAAGCTGAATGTCTCTGTCACCAGCATGCTTCACCCTCTTGGAGCCTGCCTGAACACCACTTCCTCTCACAAGGCCAGATGTCACAGCAAGGCTGGCTATGGCAGACAGCCCCACTGCTGAGTCCAGCTGTCACCCATTCCTTGATGTGTGAATGACAGCCTGCAGTGGGTCAGGCGCTTCCCTCGTGCCTTGTGTCTGCATCAGTGTGGGTAAGAGGAAACACCTCACTTTCTGCTCCTTCCTGAGCCCCCTAACAGAGGTAGCCCCCAGCAGAAACAGCCCGGCAGGCACAGGGGACGTTGCTGCCTTTTCCCCAGTGCCATCAGGATCCCATTCCCAGCTCCTCCCAGAGGCCTAGCTCCCAAATCCTACCTTCAGAAACAGCTTCAGAGCAGGATCCTGGGAGCCCTCCGAGCTTGCTGCCAGCACACGGCACAGGGTTGCTTTGTTGCACCAGGAAAACAAATTCCCAGGAGCCAATATTGACGAAGCCAGAGCAGAACAGGGTGTACGTGTGGAACAATGTGCTGGCTGGGCTGGTGCCTGGGTAACTTCATCATAGCCACAGACAGCTGGCAGTTTGGGTGCCCGCCTAGGAAACGTGGCTGCGAGGATCGTGGAAGCCTTTGCACACATCCCTGGAGCTCTCTGTGTGGTCTCAGCTGTGGCAGAGCCCTCCCTGTGAAGCCATGAGCCTAAAGATACATCTAACGGGTGGTTTTAGCACAGTGTGACACCTGGAAGGTGGGAATGGTGCTTTCCTTTAGGAGCAAGAAGACAATGCTGAGCTCCATGGCTGATACAGGGCTGAGCATTGAGGAGGAGATGAGGAAGGAGGTGGGACCTTTTGGGGCTCGGTACCCCAATTCCTCTATGTGCTGCTTGGTTTGCTGTCCCTGCACAGCAGGGATGAGCTGAGGCCTCAAGCCTGGTGGCAGGAGCTCCAGCAGCAATCAGCAATCCCTTCTGGGCCATTGCAGTGCAGCTGGGGAGTGCCTCTGTGCCTGGAGCTGAAGAGCTTTAGTCATCTGCAACACACAGTTAGCTGAGCACGTCAAGGCAGTGTGGCACACACAGGAGAACTTCTCATGGAAAAAGGTAAGTGGGGGTGGGGAAAGCTGGCTCTGGAATGTCCTGTCCCAATGCTTGTAAGGTCGAAGTTTCCATTCTCTTCAGCCATGTGGCTGTGGATTCCTCTGTACTGTTGATTTACCCTCCAGCTTGGAAGGGGTTATGATGCATGCAGGGTGGCCTTCCCTCCTCTGCCAGGAGGTTGGCTCCACACAGCCTGAGAACTGCACATTTCTGTGTCCATGCTGGCCAGGAAAGGGTTAGGGGAGGCACTTCTATTATTTCATGTCTATGTGTCTTTTTGCTATTATTAAAACGGATAAAAAGAGAGAAAGTGCTGGGGAGGCTGCAGAGTGAGGTATACAGGGTTATTTGCCCAGCATTGGAAAAGATGACAAAAATAATGATTTTTCTGAGGCAAAGGAAGATTTCAGGCAAAAAGTTACTCCCATTGGACCATCTCAGCAGAGGGTCAGTGGGTTTTGGAGGAGTGTGACATGCCTGGGAGGGTCACACCCTGATGATGGCTGCTCCTGGTTGTTGTTGGAGCACCATGACCTCCCTGCTCCAGATCACATGCTTTTGAGATTGCAGAGGCTCTCTCTGCTATTGGCATCTAGAATGCAAAAGAATGTGCTCTGGAGTCAGGTTCTCTGCTACCCGATCTATTTGGTCTCAGGTGCTGTGGCTTTTTAAGCCACTAGTATTTGTTTGGAGAGCTGAGTTGTCCCTGATGGGGCAGGGTTAGTGGTTTTCTGTGCAGTGTTTGGAAAGCAGTGTTGAGGCTGTGCACTACAGAAGGATGGTGTAGGGAAGCTTGTTTATACTGCCATGCTGGGCTATGCTGGCTTTGCAGTAGCCTTCAGATGTCTGCTATGAACTGAGAGTTAGACCTGGACTTCTTAATCTTTGTAAGAGAAGAGTGGTGGGGAACAAACCTACCCTGCCATTCATGCCTGCCTGAAGGCACAAGTAAACATCTGGGGCACATTTGGGGTTTGTGATGACTGTTACAGGAACTCTGCTCGTGTAAATGCTTCCTTTGTAAGAACCACTATCAGCTTCTTCCAGATCAATGTTTTGCTAAGCCCAAAAAAAGCCAGTTACAAGGTGAACATGTAGGCATAGGCATCACATGACAAAGCCTGCAGGACTCCTTCAAATCATACACCTAGGTGGGATTTGCAAGTGACCAAAACACCAAGCAACAGCTTTAGGGAGGGAGGTGTCAGCAAACAGGATTTAATTTCATATGCTTCTTTTGCAGGGTTAGCACAGTGCAACACCCAGCTTCTCACCTGCATTTTTTTTTTTTTTAAGCTACTTTTTCTTTCATTGCAGTGTTCTGGGTGTGTGTCAGCTTTGTTTTCCCTTGCAACAAGGCTTATTAAAATTCTGACTGGGCAAACAGCCTCAGAACTAAGGGCTTGAAGGCTTGCAGCCTTCCTAAGGGTTGACATGTCTCCTCCCAATGTGCTTCAGGCCAGGAACATAACCAAAAGCAAACAGTAAGCAAGGTATTAGTAATAGTGCAGTTCAGAACAGATGGGGGTTGGTCATGAGGGAGAAATATACAGATTCAAGCAATGGATTATATCTTTTTTTATAAGTAGAAGAATGAAGCATTTAATTATTTGCAAACAGATTTTAATAAAAACTCCTGTAGAACCACTCTTGCCAGAGCAAACAAATCAAACCATTAAATCTTCCCCCACACTAATAGAAACACACAGCATCTTTTATTGGTAGGAAAAAATCACTCTTCAAGGGATGCTAATTCTGACTGTAAGCAGCTGAAGAGCCACTCCTTTCTCTCTCCTCCAGCAGCCTGGTCACTGCTGTTTTTCTAAGAGCTCCTCTAGGGAAAGGCAGCGATGAGCTTGGTTTTAAACTAAAAAGCACACTTGGTTTTTGGAAAGCTCTCCCCAGAGACCTGGCAAAGGTACCCTCCTGCAACAATACAGGAGGTAGTTCTCCCCTTGCCTTTGGAAAGGAGCTCCCTTTAAAGCCTGACTAATACGTTGTGAGGGATTATAGGATTAAAGAGCTCCTAAAGGGTACAGCCCAGCTTCTAGCAGATGCCCGCTTTATTTCAAGGATAGCGATGCTGCAGTGTAAATGTACAGCGCTTTCACGGGCCTCAGTGTTGGCAGATCCAGCGACACACAAGGTTTATCAGCTACCCGGACCCCCCGCTCTGGGAATCCACAAGGCTTTTTTTGGTAAAAGCACAATCTATATTAAATTAATTTAGCTTTATGTAAGAAAAGTTCAGATTAAGAAGAGGATGTTGTTTTGACTTTGCTCTGCAGGCAGCCGTCACTCATGAAATGATCTTCACATCAGGCCTGGCTTCTTCCAGGGCTTTTAGTTCATCATCCACTTCAGGACCCCAGAAAATGTCGTACAGACTGAACCGAAACAAAACAAGCAAGTTGGGTTAGTGGACATTAAGGTCAGAGAGGGCAGAAAGACACAGATGGCTGTCATGAGAAGACTAATTAACAGAAGGGGCCCCAGCTAGACTGCAGAGTCCAGTCCAAATGCAATAAGGCACCTGCGTTGTTCCCTCCCCAGCATCACCATCTCCTCCTTCCTGGGCCTAATGGATCAAAGCAGGTTCAGCCACTACACCCATGACATCTAGGAGGGACAGGGCATGTTTTGCAGCACGTAGATGGTGTTCCACCCCCCAGGATCACCCATTTGCCCATAGGAACACAAGCACTGCTCACATCAGCTG